TCAACGCTTCCGCAACGCTTTTTTTGAGTTTCTTGCCTGAAAAGGCAAGCATTTTTAGACGACGAAAAGGATCCAAGCGGCGCGTACCTCAGCTTTGCCGTGACGCCTTCAATGTTTGCAAATCGCGTTGTCAGCGCTGCATCGACGCAGAAGGAGCCTATTTTGAAAGTTCTTAAACAAATTTTAACGTTTGTTTTAATAACTTCGAAAATCGACGCAGTCCTATCACTTTCCGGACATATGCTGTAGTTGTCTCTATCTCAAGACGATCTGGCTATATTTCTTTGCGCACAGCATCAATATTTTTCGCAAGAACAACTCATTTTGAACGACCTTCACGAAATCCCTCTTGTAGTGATCTACGACCTCGGTTGAAATCACAATCGTTAAACACTGGCCTCGGATGAAGCTTCAACGCCATAAATTCAATTAAGTTTATCAATGCACCGTAGCTGAGTTAACTCACGTCGAAAGTTGTGAAACATAATCGCGCAAAGTGCTCACGATTTATTTCCATTTTTTGGCCGAGGGGAATATTTCAAGTTACTGTAAACATACTTGAGTTGTTTTTAAAACAAAGCTCTGAGTATTTAAGACATCAAAAATGTCAAACTTTATGATCAAGCCGGATGGCAAAACTAGGGTTGCCAAATTTGGAAATATAAAAAGCAACCTTCATATATCTTCTATTGAAAAATGGTGGCATTGAAAAAAACCAAACATAGACGGACCCGTTTTGAAATTGCCATCAAATATGCAAATCAATGAGATAATAGCTTGCACTATGGCAATATCAAATATTCTAAAGATACGCATGTGGAGAAGTGTAGCTAATATGGGCCAGTGTTTCAATATTACATGAATAGCAACGTCGTAAAGCATCAGCAAAATTCGTTAGAGACGCGATTCCGCTGTTGCAGGTTATTTTGCTTAATAAATTTTTATGTAGTTTGAATAGATAGAAAGTAAAGCTTCTCTAGCATATTTATGTAGAAACATAAATTATTGAAATATCAAAAATTACTGAGAAAATCAACCACATTTATACCGAAATCGAGGATGTCGGTGATTTTAATAAGAACATTAAAAATCTTAGAACTGTCAATGTTCTGTTAAGCTCGAGGAATTTCGCAATCGCTGTCATCTACATTCTAACTCTTAAGCAATTGAAGGATGGGATTACATCCAGCTTGAGTCTCTCAAGTCTCTTCTAAATCTTTAAAAGCTTGAATTACACATTGGTTCATATTTCACCCAAATTTTGAATCCATTAAGAGCTGAGCTATGCGCTCAAAGCGAATGCGTAAACATTTTCTTAGCCGCCTCTGTAGGTTGTATGTAAAGTTACCTCGTTGGGCAACAACATCTGAATTTTTATTATATTCGCATATTTACTGTTTGACTTAAAGCAAATATTTTTCCTATGAACAATAAATTGAATTGAGACAATTTCTAGTGAAAACAGCAAAGTTTTGTCATATATAAAAGTGATTATATTTCATAAGAAGCCTCTTAAGAGAATGAGAGCTAGTTTTGGTTTAACAATATATTTGATTTACCACATTTTACTTGTTGAAGTCATTTTCACATTAAAGTTTTGATTCAAGTTAAGTTGACTAGCGGAGGATCTCAGCGTCTTTCAGGCTAAGAAACTATAATGCGTTGAAAAATGGAAGGTATTATGAGCCGACGCTTATAACAAAAGTTTGGCAATTGATTAACCCATTTACAACCATTGTACTCGCTTGTGTACAGAAAATCAGTCAAGTTTAGGTATGTGGCGTAACTCAATGCTAAGTATTTGCACACAAATTTTTGATCATATGCGTAGTTTTATATCTAGCAACAACAAAAAAAAAAAAAATACATTCGCTTCACGCGAATTCATAACGGCACTCTTTGTGGCGCCAACTTCTGTGCGGTTTTCTCATATTGTGTGATTTTGTGTCCTTAGTCATAATTTTGCTGTTGATGAGCTATTATCTCTCAGTTGTTAGTTTTAAAATTGTGTGTTGTGTGAGATAAAACTAAAGAGATCAATTTTACAAAAAAAAAAAAACATTTCAAAAACCTATTCTTATTTGAGGTATGTGCCTTTTAAAAGTTGTGTACCCGCTTAGGTACAATGGCAAAATGTGTAGGTGAAATAAAAAATTGTATCTTTTGATTAGGATGGCTATTTCCACTTCGTGTTTTTATGGAAAGAGATATAAACAACTTTCACAGGCTTTAACTGACAACGCGGCTGACGATGAGGCAGATGACGTCGATATCGTTATGATTCTTCCTGATGTCGATGTCAATACTGACGAAGAGAAAGGTGATGAAGATAACATGAATGAAATAAACTTGCCTGGCGACGTTGCTGGATGCGTTGAAGTATTCAATAGTTTGATAAAGATGTTGTACAACTGATCATAGAACAAACTCATTTGTATGCTTCTCAAAAAAAATCGCATAAATCTATATTCGACGAAGATGATCTAAAAGTCTTTTTAGGCATTTGATTTTACTCTGATTACCATTCAATGCCAAGAGAATCTATGTACTGGCAATTGGATGAAGACACGTTATCACCTCTTCTAAGCAATAACATTTCTAGACACAGATTTTTGGAAATAAAACGCCACATTCATTTACAAACAATAATGAAATTGACAAGTCTGATAAAATGCCAAAAACTCGCCCACTGCGAATCTATTATGCGAAAAGTTTCACAGGTGGGGTTTTATGCACGAAAAGCTTTCAATTGACGAGGCAATGGTAAAATATTTTGTCCATCATTCAGCGAAACAATTCATCAAAGGAAAGCCCGTAAGGTTTGGATTTAAAAATTAGATACTCACATGTAGCTGTGGGTACTTGTACCAATGTGATACTTACTGTGATGCTAAAAATGTTGATAGTGATACAAGACATCTTCTCCTTGGATCTCGAGTTGTGTTCGATCTAATAAAAACCATAAATAACCCCAGCGATCATATTATCTATTTTGACAATTTTTTCACAAGTCATGAACTTCTACGTATGTTGCGGGAAAAAACTTCAAAGCCGTAGGAACAACGAGAGAAAATAGAACTGAAAAATGTCCTTTGAATCCAAAAAAATATTTCCAAAAACAAGCAAGAGGATATTTCGAGATCAAATACCAGCACAATAATAAAATATTGTTTGTCAAGTGGAATGACGTCGTAACTATGGGAACTAATTTTGATACGGTTGAACCGTTGAAATACGTAAAGCGTTGGTCAAAACTGGAACAAAAAAGATAAGTATACCTCAACCAAATTTACTTTCAAATTACAACCACGGTATGGGCGGTGTTGATCTACATGATCAGGCCGTAAATGTATACAAAATTGGGATTCGAGGCAAAAAATGGTGGTGGCTACTGTTTACTTCGATGATGTGCTGCACAATGGTAAACGCTTGGAAGCTGTACAAAGACGTGAATAATAGTACCAAAGATTTGCTTGAGTTCCAAGGTGACATTACGCGATACTACCTACGACACTACACATTGAAAACATATTCTAAGCGCGCGTTAGCTCCAAGTGTTTCTACAGCTGGAGACCACATTTTCCAAAGAGAATCCTCAAGCCTCTTAGATGCAGAGTCTGCCATAAACGAATCAGGTGGATTTGCGAGCCATGTGGTACTGCGTTGTGCGTGGAACGCGACTGTTTTAAAATAGCCCACCCATAAATATTTTATACACTTTTGACCATTGTACTCGTGTGGTTACAGCAAAATTGTCGTATATGTAAGAAAAAAAAAATAATTAATTTTTTTTTTGTTCATCTCTGCGATGGTATAAATCAATAAAAAACTGAAAATTTTAAATAAACTCATTTAAATGGGTTAAACTCTGACATGCTTGTATTGGTGGCTCAAGAGCATATTTTGAAGGCGATATTGTGGATTTCTTTTTGAATACTAATATTATTATATAATATTTGGCAATTCAATTTTCCGACAAGGTATGGATCGATGATGGAGCATGGATCATGCGTAGAAGTTCACGCAAGTGAGGAAAATTCTCTGATTGCCATTCACTTAGGAGTGGCCAGAAACGATTCGTTTACATATGGCTCAAACAGCACACGACTTCAGGTCCTAGCCAAAGAACATCCGTTTGAAGGCGAGCTAAAGTGAGAAGGCGAAACATCCCCTACATAGGGTTGTGCGCTGGGTTTGAGACCCGTCATGTAAAAACGCTCTGAATGAACTGTAAAAAACAGCCCTTATTGATGACGACCATAGCGTTTCAAACAAAGCAAATCTCCTTCATGCCACTTTTTCAATCTACTCTTGGAGAAAATAATTCGAGCTGGAGAACTAAATAGGGCAGGTACTGTCTTCTAAAAAAGTGTACAAATGCTAGCGTATACCAATGATATTGATAACATTGGCTACAACAGCCACGCCGTTAGTTCCGCTTTTTCTACACTGGATAAGGTTGCGAAGCAAATGTCCTCTGTCCTCTGTGTATTGGCAACGATGAATACCGCAGTCGATGGAATGACGAGCTGTACGGACATTGGCATACATAGCTCATGAATTAAGAGGCAGCGACGCTGGCTAAATCACTCCAGCTCTGATAGTGTTCGACGCATTACCCACCGGGGAAGCAAAGGAAGGTAAAGACATCCACTCCGTTGGAAAGACTAGGGGGAGAAGGAAGTGTCCACAATTGGAATCTACAATTGGCGCAAAACAGCGAAAAGAAAGAATTCACTATTGTGAAGCAGTAACCGCATAAGCAGTATCTACGCCAATAAACAAGAAGAAGAAGAACACATACAACATATTAATAACATATTGCAACTAGTTTATTGTTTCTTCAATCATGACTACAGTGCAAAGTAAGAACAGATATATAACTTTCTCTAGATAAGTGGTATTGTTGTTTAGCATTTTTTATTTTTTTTATTTATTTATTTTTTTTTTTTTTTTTTTGTTTGCCTTCAAAAGGATGTTCCTTTCTAATACGTTCCCTTTTAATCCAGTCGATCCTTTAGTGTCTCTCCAAAGCCCATTTCATTTATGAAAGTATATAAAGTGAACGAAAACTTGGCGATCTTGAATGAGTACGAAACGAAAATTAACTGTACAAAACAAGACTAACATTTCTATTTACCGACAAGTTGGTTCTCAAATTAATTACAAACAATGTGATTGCGGTAAAGGAGATCTCTTTCTGAGCGCGTTGCATGAAATAGATAATCAATTTGTGGCAACGTTTATCCAAAGCCAACCAGTTGCAATGGAAAATCGCTACTGGTAACTTAGCGCTGTCCGCCTCGAGCATCGAAGCTTGATAACAGGTGGGAATGGTCTGCCAAAATACGGGCAAGAGATAAACCAATGTGACCAGCTTGGTCGATGCGTCGCCAAATACGAACATGTTGAGCATACAGACGCAGAGTATAACGGCGTATATAGTAAATTGAAAGAAGGTGGTAAGAGAAAGGATCTTACCAACGGTATCGGAAATCCTTTGGAGTTGTAAAAGTCAAAGTAAATTATATGTAGCGTTTTAAGTGTGTGTTAGATATAAATTAAACGATACTCACTGCAGTAATTCTTGATGTGAAACGATACAATCGACTAATTCTTCAAAATTCTCCTGATCACTAAAATCGGGATTAAGGCCCAAACGACTCACGCGATCCGTCAAGAGATTGACATGTGTACGCAGAGCACGTATATATAAAGCAGGAAACGAGTCAATTGTCAAACTCATTTGTAGCAGTTCCTGCAGAAATACTACCTCAAAGATGAAGTGAAGCCAAAATCTCAAATTGGATTCTGGCAGCCAATCAATGAATGGCAAGTTATTGCCATTCGGGTATTCATGTATGCAAAGCGCTACCAACCAACTTGATGTGCCAAACAACCAATACACAATGCAAAAAACAACAAATATCCGTGTGCAAGTTTTAACCGAATCTCGGATTTGCATCTGATCTTGCGGTCTCTGATAACGTTTATCCAAAGCGTTGAAAATCTTTCCGATGTCATCCAAACGGTCAATATTGGCTTTAATATAAACAGCTTTCAAAGGAAATGCAATACTATTAATAGCGACTCCTAAATGCGCAAGTAAGATTGTTATTGGTAAGGAGTGCATTGTTTTTACCACACCAGAAAAAAAGAGATAAGGGCAGCTAAAAATGCAACTCCAACAAATAAGCTGATGAATTACGTCGACAATACGTTGCGGTCTCTTCGGTGCAAAACCGATTGCAGCAAAACTGCGCGACAAGAGTACAAATGATTCAATTGTCACGAAGTCATCCTTGCCGCGACCATAAAATAAATCGCCGATTTTACGCATTTCGTTGCTTCCTTCGGTCGCTTAAAATAATCTCTAAAACCAACAGTTGCCGACAGGAAATATTTTCTGTTGTACTGCTGCTTCTCTTTCCTCTTAAGCGATTCCTTGAACTGGTCAGGCGTTTTTGGCTACAATATTTCACAAAATCTCTGCATGAACTGGGGTCTTCCTTCCTTCCTTCGAAATTTTTAAGGGCAAATACTGATGTCCACTCCTCTTCTTTTACTTTTTGGAAATATTCACAACAATTTTGTTTAATCCAGTAAAAACAAAAAAATATTCAAAAAAATTTCAGGTAAAGTCAGTCAATCAGAAAACACGTCTGCAAGCTTTGCTTGCTAATTTGTTCTGCGCTAAGGTTTACGTTCTCGTAGTGCTAAATAGTCCACGAAGTCTTAACATATTATTTAATTGCTGTAGATATGTAGCACAAATAATTGTTGAAATTTAAACCCAAGAGAATTTACTTCAGCCCTAAAATTACTCCTACTTATTAGTCAAAAAATATAAATCAGTGGCTATTCGTGAAAAGATTTTACAGACAGATATCAGTGGAACCAAATTTATTAGTGCCGCCAGGGGGGAGTCTACATGAAAATGACAATAAACCTCAACTAGTAATAGAAACCTCATTTAGTTTGATAGTAGTGCATTTCTTTACAGGGTAAATACCAAGACTTAAGAGTTTTCCTATAAGAAGCACGTTCAATATGGACAGCCCTAACAGCCCTAAGTCACACAACTTCTTGGAGGCCTATCATCATGATCACCATGTTAAAAACTCCGGATCTTGAACCGCTCTACATGGACGGTAGCGATGTTATCAGCTTCATTTTGAAAGAAGTAAGGACCAAACACTCCCCCAGACCAAAAACCACATCAAACTGTCAATATATAGTCGAATGCAACAGTTGTTCATAAATAATTTGTGGATTTTACTCGCACCAAAATCGACAGATTGATTACCAGACCACTAAGCTGAAAGTGAGCCTCATAGGAGAACATGATTAGAAAACAACTATTTCGATAATAAAATTGAATAATTTATAATTTACAGATCATGACATATGAAAAATGGTCGAGACGGCACTAAGAAACCATATCGTCCTTATTGGAAAATACGGTATATATACATAAATATGTTTTGATGTAAATTTTCGCACTGTTGACCAATGCCAATGTGAATCTGGCAATTGAAAACTCAATGCATATTTCATTGATGTATAAAATCAAATATTCTAATTCGTGTGAAATTATTGTACATAAACATTGTTGTAAACAGTTACGCATATTGGAAAACATTGCCCATTGTCAAAGTAATTATTATGACAAATATATGATTTGCTGAACACATATGAAAATTTTAAGCGAAATCTATAATATACTTCACAGGCCTCTTCCTCTTTATTGACGTAGACACCGCTTCACATGCCTAGGTTACTTGTATTGCGAAATACTTCTAGTAAATCAAATCTCAAAAAAGTTTGCAAAGAGTGCTGCTTATTGACTCAATGGAGTAGTTATGAAAAAACGCCACGATTTTAGCTCAATTAACCTCAATCGAATCTCGAAACTGCAGTTGATCTGCTTCTTTAACTTGTCATTTATTTACTGAAGTGGGCAAACCCCGCCATCATGACTTATCAAACTATGTAGTTCTAAGAGAAGACGATCAGTCTCTATACATTACCACAAGCTTCGTCATGGATAGTGCAGTTTACGACAGTCTAACCACAGCAATTCTCTCTTTTTGTCGTGATAACAGACTAAACACAGGTAGGCAACCGTCTCCAGACGCAAATGGTAGTATTCAAGGAAACTTTTCAGAACTACTTTATAAATACATAGATAAAAAAACTTTTTCATTTGTGATTCCCTTCACTAAAAATTCTTATTCCCTTCACTAAAAATTCTTGTCAAGATATTAAATCAAGGCTTAATTGGACTTTTCTCCTAAACGAAGCTACAACACTGATGTCGTCAGCATACTTCAATTCATCAAAACCAATAGCTATTACCGCTCTAAATAGAAAAATTGTACTTTTTAAAATGGAAGGTTATCAGTTACTTATTACAATAAGTTTTCAAACTTTTTTCGAAATGGAAAATGAATATTGCGATATCTTCAATGAAGTAAAATTACTGCAAATTTCTATACCCCTGTCTCTTTTGAATTTGAGAAGCTTTGAAAGCATGACCTCGAAAGTTTTTCGAGTAGTGGTTCATAGGCTTTTGAAATGTATTGAGAAGAATAATCTTTATGGAGAGGATGCAAATGAAGATATGCAAGAGTCGGTAATTTATTACTACATTAAATAGCGTTAAGTTAAAACATACAAAGAAGAACTAAGTTCGGGTGCATCCGAACATTTTATAATATGGCTACTTGCAAGCATGAAATCCAGGAAAACAATCTGGGTAGTGGCGAAATTTCATTTAAAAAAGTTGTGAAAATTTTCAACATTCATTATTTGACCAAACTGAATGGCTTATGAAGAACATATACGGCAGATGGTATTCTACTCTAGAAATCAAATTTTGGGCAGTTTTTTCAATTAAAAAAAAAACCAAAAAATATTTTTACTATCCATTTTTTGTATGGTATTTTTATTGATATCTTAAGAATACAGAAAAGAAATTGTGCAAAAAAATATTAAAAATTTAAATAATTAGAGGGGAGGAGAGACAGGTGTAAAAACAAATGGCGCATCCTGGTGACATTGACCCTGACTCTCCTGGTGGACTGAAACAAAAAATCCAACGAAATTCCTAATCAGTAAGAATGTTGTTATAGTCCCTATTTCAGGGAACACGAAAAAAAAATTTTTTTTTTGAAAAATGGCGACTGCCTGAAAATAAAAATAATTTTTTACGCTTTTTCTTTGTTTGAAATTCCTGATTTTTTTTTTTTAAATATTAAAATCAAAGGCTTAAGGATTATATAAAGATAAAGGATTATATAAAGAAGGTTCACACAAAATTTCAAGTAAATCGGTTGTATAGAACTTCAGATAATGCCGGTACTGTGTGGAAAAAAGTAGTTTCGAGAAAAACGCGATTAAAAAAGTGAATCTACCTGCGTACCGGGCTAGGTACTGCGTCACTAAATTAACTGTAGCTCTAAAATAATTTTAATTTTTAAAAATCCTTTGGAGGATATGTTCTTAAGGGTGTAAACTTTAAATATATGAAAAAAACGAATTTTTAAAAATTCTAGAGCTGAATACCCCCTTAAAATAAAAAAAACCGAGAACCCCAACATCCTATAAATTGGAGTTTAAGTAACTTGTGAACCAATTTGACATATTTTTGGTACTAAACTTGTATGTTAAATGTTTAGTTAATTCTTCTATTACCTGTTGACCAATATATACGGTAAAAAACCAACGGGAAGGTGTATGGGAGATAGGGATAGTATAGTCCCCATTTTAACTATTTTTGATATTACTATTTTATTAACAGATAATCTTTGAGTTATATTCAGCTACCTCACAAAGCATGGATTGTATTAGCTACATGTCGGCTAGGACAAGTTTTCATACGATTTAATCACTCTTATGCACGCTCTTCCAATTTATTTAAGTTAACTCACAAATTGACCGATATTTGCGGCATAAAATCTGCCGGAAGTTGAAATATATTTCTGTTAGGTATTTGGGAACTCCATTTTTTTCCATGGAAATAACAGTACAGTTTCTCTCTAAGTTTCTGCAATATATCTTACAGATTAACCAATAATATGGGCTCCACAATTCGGCATCTAGTGAATTGAACATTTTTGATCTGATTCAAATAATTTTTGGTCATAAGCTGGCACACTTCAAAGGCAGTATACAGACAGAGCTTTATCCTGATACCTCCATTTCTGCTTAATTTGTATACTGTAAAGGGTAATAATCAAATGGAATTTAAATTTGTTTAAAATGAGAAGTAGGCATGTTATTAGCCCGATTTCAGCTATGGGTTTCCAACAAAAAAGCATGTTGCCACACCCATCGCCGAATTATGGCACCGGCTCCTATAAAGCCCTCCTCTCTGATATCGGGAGCAAAATTTTATGTTTCTGACGCGTTTATGTCTTGATTTATCACCCTTTTAATGGAAAGTGGACGGGGTTATCCTATCATATAATTTTACTTCATCGGTAGGGGTGTTTAATCGATTTGTCCTGTGCAAAATTGGGTGATATCACTTGAGCGGTACATTAAACCTATTAGAGGGTGGGCCACGTCCATTTATTTTTTTAATTTTAGCCACAGCTGTCCCTTGCTCCCACAATCCCCAGTGCCAAATGACAATTTTATGTCTTAAATTATAGCTTAGTTATGGCATTTTATACATTTTCGATAAATGACGGCGTGGAATAGATCCGATTACCCCAAATATCGAGTAGGTGAAATATTATTGAAATATGATAAGAATTTTATTTGACCTTTGCAAGTTGCGATAGCATAAGATGTTCGGTTTCACCTGAACTCAACTTCTTACTTTATTCTCCAGGTTCCTTTTCGTTATTTCTGAAAGATTTAGTTAAGGGATTATATACAGTTCGAATTTTAGAAACATCGTTTTTTCTTTCTTAAGGTACATATATTTATGAATACACACAGAAAATTTCATACTGTTCCGGAGAGTATTTTCGAAGCGCCGCCCAAATTTTAAAAGGCGTTTCAATATGCTTGGAAGTGCATTCCAAATTTTTATCAAAATGAGAGTCGAGTCAAGGACCAACATTACTCGAAAACGGCTAAACTGATTAGTCTCAAATTTTAGCCTGATTTTTTACATATTTTTAAGATATATTTTTTTAACAATTTTTCTCGCCGATAAATATTTTTTATATACATTTTAAGGCTGAAATATATTATAATATTATATTTCAACTTTTAATACAACATGGCAACATCATGTCAGCAAGTCAGCTGCGCCTGGCTTACAAGCACCGCTGAAACGAATCGACACAAAACGAAACAAGGAATACATAGTTAACCGTTAGGCGTGAGGACTATATAGGACTGACAGCCACCGTTTGCGCATCGTACGATTTTATTTATCAAACAATTTTACTAGATTAAAAATTACATTTTTTATTTCAGAGGATTCAGTTCAGAGATATTATGGTCACCTCAAAGCGCCTTTTTGGAGAGAAGCTTCCTGAGTTTATTTCCAAATAAATATTTTTACTAATACTAAGCCTTAAAGTATAGCTAAAAAATACTGTAGATTGTGCACAAATTTTTGGATCAATAAATTAAAAGTTTTCTCAGAAAATATTCTGAAAAATTCGCTTTTTCGCTCTTATAGCTGTATATAGCACCTTAATAAAGTATGCTCTTTCAATGTCTTTCCAAAGCACATTTCTGTAATAAAGGTTCACGAATTATATTAAACTAAAATTTAACGATCTTGAAGGAGAAAAAATATCAGGTTAAGTGTTAAACCCAAGGCTATCTTTCTCGCTGACGCACAAATTGGTTCGCAAATTAAATTAAAAAATAATTTGATTGCGATGAAGAAGATCTTCTCCTAAGTGTTTCCTGAAAGAGATGATCATTGAAAGGCCAAACCGAATTTTGAACAAACGCTCTTCTTTCATTATGGTACCTCTTGGTTATAGAAAACATGTGAAGAAATCATAAGTCATTCATAAGCTGATTTAACGGCACACAACACCAATTTATCTGGCTGAGTTCTAGTTAATCAAGCAATCTACTCGACCAGTCCATTATAAAACCACTTAATATAATATACTACTAGGATGGTTTAAGAAAATTAGTTAGTGGATAATTTTAAACTTAAATTTGGTGTATGAAGACCGTCCTATGTTACGATGGCAACTTAAATGCAGAAAAGTCAAATTGCATTGCAAACTCTCAAATGGATTTTCATTAGTCCGAAATTTAGAACTCACCGACCTAACATAATATACGTTACAACGCTCAGCTATCCCTTTGAATCTTCTGCAATCAAGATCATGAATTTAAATGACCACAAAAATTAGTACAGGTAAGCCGAATATTCATGGAAACTCCTCAGCGAAGCGATCAGTAGGTCCAAAAGTTAACAATTTCTCTGAAAACCATCATATATCAAAATTTCCCATGAGTTAACCAAAGCTATCACGGTTGTCGTGCGGTCAGTAAACAGAACAGGAAGTCAAGTCACTCCAGAAGTGATTTAATACGACGAAACATCTCTTATTCGGCTCGATTTTGGCGCATTTTACTGCTGGGTAGACACCAAGCTACACCAAACTACACCCTACATGTAAATTTTTGCACTTGTTGCGATGTGATGTGAATTTAGCAATGCCAATTTGTAATTAATATTTCATAGCATAAAATAAAGCATTGTAAATTCATGATAAGATAATAGTAACTATAAATATATATGTATTAGAGAAGAAAAATATGATATAAAGTAGAAAATCGAGTTTTATATCAGTTTTTATAATATTTACTAATGTCAAGGTTACTAGCAGCAAAGTCGACTCCTTTACAAATTAAAGCGTACAGCACTTAGGTAATAAAGCAACCCTTTACTCTCAAATCTGTGTACCCTACGGCTTCCCTTATTAAATTTAAATAAATTAAACAAAAGTACGGCAAAATGTTACATTCAAGATTTTTACTAAGAATATAACACCAAGCATTTCCTTACCACTCCAAAGTGTAGGACAGATTTATTAGTTTTAAACGAATAATGTATGGAGGTGGACTAGAATCCCCTCAGGAATCTTGAATCCCCCTAGATCCCATAAGGCGAAAAGTAAAAATTGTTCTTGAATAGACTCTAACTTTTCTGAATGAATTTGGCACCTAGTACCTAGTACCATACCACCAATACAGATCAAACCAAAGTTGCAAAAAATGTTTTAGCAGCAAACGGATCTCTAAACCAGCGTTTAACAAAACTGAGAATACCTTCTGCTTTCAAGACTATTGCAACAAAATTAAAAACTTGCTCTAATAAATAGTATTTTTATTACATAGTAGAAAGTCGCCTCTTCCCACTTTCCCAGATCTTCAAGTCATCGTCTTGAATTTTTTCAATGGGAAATGATATATATCACACCAAGCAACCAAATTGTTCCAGTATGTTTGCATCTGAGATCTTATCGTTAATAAGTAACAAGAACAAAGTCGGTGCAATGTCTCTTAATTTAATCTGAAAGAGTATTCTTTGCTTGAGATCAAGTTTATGTACAAGAATCGAAAGATTTACTTTATCGAAAGCTTTGTTTCTAAAATCCAATAATAAATGGCTTAAAAATTCAAGTAAATTTGTTAGATTAGATTTCTTTCAGGAAATCCAAGCTGAGAAGAAGAAATTTACGCAGACAACGAAAAAGTTATATGGTCTGCAATGTTAGCTTCAAAAAGTTTCCTTATAACGGATAGTTTTTCAAGACGTCCATAGTTTTCAAAGTAAGAGTTAAGTCCACCTTCTTGAAAAGGGGTTATAAATGACAGTTTCCATATTGAAGTAAAAATGTTTAACAGCGGAATTATTATAAATACATATATATATAGTTGGTACTATTTTTTAGGAAAATAATTAAAATATATTGTATTTTGTTGCTTAATTCAGTTATTGACAGTATGGGCACCGATAGGTGCTGAATGAGAGTCTGTCGCTTAGGATGTCTGCCAAGTACTCGGGATAAGGGCTAGATTTTATGACGTGACCATCAATGCTGATCTCAATGTATTCTTCGCTTCCTCTAGAGTTTCCGCGTATCCTAATAGTTTTACTGTGTCCGACACCGCAACTCTAAGGAGTCCGTCATACATTATATTCTACAGAACTGGACCGAGAACAAACGCCTGTAGAACACCACCAATATCGGATAACTATGCCATAAAGTTGATCGAATAAACGGAATTCCTTGTATGAAAATCTCATATTTTAAGGATAGATTGATCATACCTGTATTCTCCGTAGATAAGTATTGTTCAGATCGGACCACTTTTGCTTATGGCTGCCAATCAAACTTACCGATTCATATTCTTTTTTATCATACTATACATAATTTATACCTGTAAAGCGTATTATAGCTTCGATACAGTCAAAGTTACACTTTTATACTCTTGCAACATGTTGTTGCAGAGTATCATAATTTTGTTCACCGGTTCTTCATACCATTTATTATCTACAAATAATCGAGTTAGATATATAATACTTGTAGAGTTGTAAATATATAAATGGTCAGGCTGAAGAGACAGGTGGAAATCCGGTGAAAAATTATGAATATCGCAATTTTAAACATCGCCGATTAATAATCTCACTAGACACAAAACTAGATCCAAATTTTGATTGCTGTGCAGCTAATTTATTTTGTCTTTAAACATCACTACAGTGCAATTGATAATTTTTTATATAATTGTCTTGTGTTGTTTTGTGAATAACTACTAATAACTGTAACTTTCTCGACTCTGTCCTTTCCTCTAGTGGCTCGAATAAACAAATTTTCGCTATCACTTCTAATTATGGTGTGTATCCAAACCCATTTGCTTTATGAAGGTATACAAAGTAAACGAGAACTTGGCAATCTTGAAAAAGAACGAAATCAAAATTATCTCTTTAAGCAAGGCATTACTCTTAGGTAACTTTCTCACTTACCGACAAGTTGGTTCTCAAATTAATTACAAACAAYKKRATTGCGGTAAARSAGATMTCYTTCTGASYGCGTTGCATGAAATAGATRATCAATTTGTGGCAACGTTTATCCAAAGCCAACCAATTGCAATGGAAAATTGCCTCCGGTAATTTAGAACAGTCCGTCTGGAGCATCGAAGCTTGATAACAGGTGGGCACAGTCTGCCAGATGACAGGTGCGAGATAAAACAGCGTACTCACCCTCGTCTTCAAATCGCCAAATATGAACAAGTTGAGCATGCACACGCAGATAAGAGCCGCATATACAGTGAATTGAAAGAACGTGGTTAGAGAAAGGATCGACCCAACGGTATTGGAAATCCTTTAGAGTGCAGAAATCAGCAAAGCAAAAAAGAATAGAGTACATAAACTATATATTCCATATATTTGACGTGAGCTGATTCTAAATGAGTATTTCGAAAGTAGACCAAACAGAACAAACGTAGAGTTTTTTCTCAAAACAATCGATACTCACACAAGTATTTCCTGATGTGAAACGATGCAATCGACTAATTCCTCATAATTCTGTTGATCACTTAAATCGGGATCTAAGCCCAAACGACTCACACGATCCGTCAAGAGTCGGATATGCGTACGAATACTATGTATATAAATTGCCGGATATGAATCGTTTGTACATTGTAATTGCAGCAGATATTGAAAATAGAGCATCTCGATAATGGAGTGAAGCCAATATTTCAAGTTCCCTTCTGGCAGCCAATCAATGAATGGAAATCTATTTCCCTGCGGATATTCATGTGTGAAAAGCGGTAACAATCTACTTGGAATACAGTAGAACGCATACAGCGTGAAACAGGCTGCAAAGATCCGTGTGCTAATTTTAACCGTTTCTCTGATTTGCATCTTTTCTTGGGGCGTCTGATAACGTTCATCCAATCGTTTGAACATCAAATTAACGTCACACAAATGATTCATATTGACTTTAATGTAAAACGCTTTCAATGGTAACGCGAGACAATTAATAGCGACTCCTAAATTAGACAGCAAGATTGTTATGGGCAAATCGTTCATCATATCTATTACTCCGGCAAAATACCAAACAGGACAGGTAAATATGCAGCACCAGCAAATAATCTGATGAATTATGTCAACAATACGTTTCGGTAGTTTTGGTAAAAAACCAATTGCAGTCCAACTACGAAACAAAAGTTCAAATGATTCAGTCGTCTCGAAGTCATCCTTGCCGCGGCCATAAAATAAATCCGCGATTTTACGCATTTCAATTTTTCTTGCGGTCACTTTAAGCAATATTCAAAATCTCTACTTCATATACAAAGTTAAGTTCCTCATTTACGCTACTAAGTTCCTACTTCGCACTGCACCCTCTTGAGTCCAAATTAGCTTTGTCGAGATCCACAAAGCTTCGCAAAGTCGCCTATTGGATTTGGGTCTGCCTTTCTTTTGAAATTTCGAAGACCAAGTAACAGTGTATTCACAGCAATTTTTTTATCCCAAAAAACATCTCACGCTGTCTTTAAATTGAAACTCGTGCGAGACGCAGGCACGTCTGAACGTTTTAATTGCTTATTTCTTCTATGTTTATCTTGGCAGTTCAATTGACTCAATGAGTCGAAAATGACTTAATTTCTTGTTACATTGTAGGTATATCTATGTTTGTTAGAAAATATACACTTAAGGTCGCTTTAAGCTGGCGGAAAGCAAAAATACTAGTCTGCTATTAACCAGCACTTATCACAGGCGATTAGTGATCTAGTCTTTTCAGATTCTATTGGCACAGTCCCAAGTGTTGAATACACGAAAGATCATCTGACGCCATATAAAAAATTACAGAATATACTTATAAAGATTGTGAACAACTAACAAGTGCTGAAGGCATTTCACATGGAGTTTCTAAATTTTCCACAAACCAACTCTTTCCTTTGCACTCCGATAAACTAATAACATTTTTTTTTCCTTATAACTTATGTTCATAAAAAGGTTTAGTTTCTAAACTGATCTCAATTCAATAAATTAAAACCTAAAAACTTAGCTATTCAAAATCAATCAGACCATTTTATTGACCAGGTATGTACCGAAATAATGTGGAATAATACAACTCTTCGAAGTTTAAATGAGGAAGCACCCAAAAGCCAACTACTGCTGACAATACACGAAGCGGAACCCTCATCCTGCTGGGCAGGAAGAATATGACTTTGGTGTAAATACTATATCTAGGTACATATGTATGTCCTGCGTGTAATATTTTGCACTTGTTGCCAATGCGGTTCGCATCCGGCAACAGTAAACTTGAATTAATATTTTATTAATATAAAAAATAAAATATTCTTGTAACAACGAATACAATTAATAAGTTAATGTTTTATGTCAATAGTTAGTGTCAACAAATAAACCGCTATTCAAGTTATAGAATATTTCCAATTCCCAAGCATGATTTATAGATACTACGGGCAACAAGGATGAGCTCCTACGTTCATAAATAAATTAAAATAGCAAGTCTAGTTTTCCCAGACCTGTTAGGCAACGCATAGGAATGATGAAACAGCGGAGTCTAACGCCCGTAAATCGTACCACCAAGACGATTACGCAGATTACCGATGAGGCCAACGAAATTAGTTTCTGAACCAGTTCGGTTCAAGCCCATTGTTTGATTGGCA